TAATCAAGTCAAGCCTTTCTCTTTAAAGGAAAAGTCTCTCCTGGGCTGTGCCCTTTTTCCAAGTTCAAGATTTTTTTTTTTTTCCTTTTGATTCAGGGGCCTCAGCCTCAGGCATAAGCTAATCAATGCTCTACTATTCTTTGGTGAGCTTATTCACTTCTTTTTCTAAAGCTTTCCCATTAGAAGCAGTTTACCACTCTCCAGATATTGCATAAAGAAAGGCTTCAGGAAAGCATTCAGCTGCCATAGAGCTCCTCAAAGGCAACAGCTGTTCAACGTTTGATAAACTAACTACATATGAAAAGAGTAGTTAAGTGTTCTTCAATTTTTAAGGCAGAAGGATCTGTCTAGACACTAATTAGTAAATTTGTAATTTAAACTTGTTTGACTTTTTGTGCTGATGTATGGCTTCTGGCTTTCTGCATAAAACAAACGGATGAGAGAGAAAAGTGTGCGTGGTGTTTTCATGCCAAAGCTCTGTCTTCAGAAATGTGAACATCTCTGCCTTTAGAGTATCCAAAGATGCCAGTGCTAATCTGCAGAACTGACAGCTTCCTCTGGTGTCCTGAGTTCCATTCTGGTTTTCTAATGCAAGAAACTTGATCGTGAGTCATTCACTCAGCATCCATCAATCCACTCTTTGGGAAGCTGGGCATGGATAAAGGCAGGACACTGACACACATTTTAAGATGCACTTTGTCAGAAAGCACTTCAAGTCACTCAGATCAGTCTAACAAAAATTTAGAAAAACCAAAACAAACCAAATGAAAACGCCCCCAAACAACCAATTAAATAAAACCCCAGAACAACCACCACCTTACACTGTTTGAAAAGGTGAGAAATACTTTTCTATAAAATCTGTACAACTTCTTTAATCAGGGCAAGACAAAAATTAGACAGAAAATGTTTCCTTAGCATGGAATCCCCTCAGTCCCTGTCCTTACCCAGATATCACTTTCCTTTCGTCATCACTCTCATATTCAGCAAGGATCATCTCCTCCTCGTTGTGATCCAGCTGGTCTAGAACACCCTCTCCAGCTCCCTGTGAAAGAGCCTCTTTGCTGAGCTGAAGAAGGCGCTTTGCCTCATCCTCCTCGCACCTCTGGAAGGAACATAAAGGCACAGTATTTCCCAGATACAAAGACAGTAGCACAGAGGTTGCTTTATGGCATGGACAGGTCAGAAGATAGCACAGTCCCTCACAGAAGGCTGAAGCTGTTCAGCCCCACAGAAGGCAGCTGTTACCAACAACCAAAGACTTGCCCACACAGACAGTTATGAAGGGGAAATATAAAGAACCTTCTCTGCAAAAGACATGCTGAACTAACAGACCCTCAATGAAATGTTCATGTAATCCAGTATTAGTTGCTTAAAGTGGCACATAAAAGATGTCTGCCTGAGAGAAAATAGTGTGTAAATAAACCTGAACAAACAAACATGTAAGGATACAATCAAACACTCTGTGCACATTTAACTCAAAGCTAGAATCAGCTCAGCAACTGGTTTAGAACAAGATTTCTCTTGGGTTTTTTTCTCCAGTTGTGTGACTATTACTCTAACACAAGTCTACCTCTCTACAAAGATTCAATTCAACTGTTGAAGCACAGTTTTCTGATTAACTTTTATGTCACAAAAAGAAAAGTTTATTTTTTCCATCTCAAAACAGTATCTTCAACGTCAATGAATGTTTTATTACCATGGCATTATACAGAAAAAGCAGTTAGTAAGCACTACCGAAAAGATGAATCAGTCACTTTTCCAAATCTAATATTTCTCTCATTTGCTCTCTTGCTTTTCATCATGCTTCTCATTTCACATGCTCTTCATCCCCTTTTAAGAGACAAGTTCTTTGTTCCATTTGTTTTTTATTTGCCATTCTTCACTATTTCTGTCATATCCTTTCAACAGGAGTTGACCAAAACATTGCACCATATTTGAGATGGAGCACGCTAGAAATTAATAGCCTGGCAGCCTAATAAATCTGTCTGTTTGCGGATCTCATATAATCAAAAAGTACCAAGAGCATTGAGGCCAGGTCATGCATCTAAATGAGAGGGAATACAGATGTATCTGTAAACTTTAATCCCATTTTTATTCCAGAAGTACAGACTGTTCATACTTGCTCATAAAACAGAGATCTTTCCCAAAAAAGCTACTATGTGTTAAAAGCCTTTAAAAGAAAAGCAGAGGGCTAGAAGGCAATCAGAACACACATCATTTCTGCCCACACACAAAAACTGTCACAGGAAATTATTGATGCACAAATTGTTTTTCACATCCGTACTTTTAAAAGAAAATCTAACAAATCATTTCGGATGACCAATTTCAGAAACCTCAAAGAGCTCCTCGAAGAGGTAGGTTGAAAAAGCCAATGTGAATCCACACATAAGCAAGTATGAACAACACTGAAGGTAACCAAAATGGAAAGTTCTGATCTCTATGGAGTAACTCACCTTCCTCTTTACTGTGTATTTTAACTGCACATTGTGACGAATTTTCTCAAGACGATCTTCTCGCTTTTTCCTTCTGATCTGCTCTTCCTACAAAAAAGGGAGAGTGTAGGCAGGATGAAGTGGATTTAGTCCTCAACCCTTGGTATCGCTACTTATTGTCTGGGCATAGAAAAAAGACTTGACAGAAACAAAACTGCCAGTACAGGGTGCCATTCCCCCAGAGTGCTCGCCTACTGAGTGTTACTCTGCTCAAAGCAATATAGTTTCCTGTCGCTCTATTTGGAACAGCGAGAAAAATGACACAGACTCTCTTGTGTGTTGAACACACACAAGCAAAGTTTATTATTCTTGATCTTCTTTTATAGACATGTTGGAGAAAGTCCGAGAGGTAAAACTCTCATTGGTCATTAAAGCAACACATCTACTATCATTGGTTAAGTGTAACATCACCCCTTGACTGTTTTCCTAAACACCACCTGCAAAGATTGTTGTCCTTTACCAAGGACTGTTTGGATTCTTTCTCATGTTTTCTCAGGCCAGAATGAGAAGCCCGTGACTTAGTTTCACACAGGCTTTGTTCCCTTCTTTTTGCATTTAGCATCCACAGTTTCCTGTCTTGGGCAACCTGCAGGCAAAGACGCACATCCACCAGATTTACCTCAGGTGTTTTCCACTCATCATCCAGGATACAGGAACAGTTTACCCAGAGAGGCGGCGGAGTTCCCTTCCCGGGAGATGCTAAGAAGCCGTCTGGACACAGGGTACCGCGCTCTAGGGACTCTGCTCGAGCAGAGAGGCTGTCCTTGGTGATCCCCAGGGGTCCCTTCCAGCCCAGCCATTCTGCGACTATGTGACAGTAGCCCTCCTAATCCTTTTTCCGGGTTATTTCACCCGTCCTCTACACAGGAGCGCTTCCTCACCTTCAGCCTGTCCACCATGTCCCGCTGCTCTTTCCTCTGCACGAAGGCCGTGACCCAGTCGGGCTGCCCGGCCGTGTCCGCGCTGCCCGGCCGCGCCTGCTGCGGGGTCAGCTCGTCCTGCCCGCCGGCCCCGAGCGCCAGCAGCCGCGCCTCCGCCTGCCGCCGCTTCTGCTCCCAGTCCCGGAGCCACGACAAGGCCCCGCAGATGAGGCTCAGCGATTTTCCCTGTCACGGAGAGCCGGCAAGGTGAGGAGCGCTGCCCCACCGCCGCGGCCCCGCTCGGCCCCAGCCGCGGCTCGGCCCCACCGCCTCACCGTGCCCGTGGGGCTCTCGAAGATGCCAACCCGGCCGCCCTCCAGCGCGCCGTACAGCGCCTCCATGAACTGCTCCTGGATGCGGTACGGCGTGTAGGGGAACGGGAACCGGCCCGCCGCCGTCCCGCTCTCCATCCCGCTCTCCATCCCGCTCTCCATCCCGCCCCGCTCCCGAGCGGCCGCCGGGGCCGCCCCCGCCCCTTCCCGTGCCGCGGCGGAAGAGCCGCGCACAGACTGCGCTGCCCTCCCCGCACAGACACCGCCTCTTCCCGAGCTCCCGACCGCGGCCCGCGCTCGCCCTGCTTCCCCGCTCTCTCCCGGCGCACGGAGGGGCAGAAAATTGGATTACAGAGGAGAAAAAAAAAACCAAAAGGTTTTATTTAGGGTGGAAACGCACAATGTGCAATAAAACATTGCAATATAGAAAAGGTATATGTAATAGGCAGTCCTTAAATGCCGAACTGTGTATGTTAATACTCTGGAAACAAGAGCGACCTAAAGAGGAGTGACATAAAAAGAACAAGGCTATTGCAACCAGTCTCTGGACCAGCAGTGGGAACTCACCGTGTGCCAGTTCACACTTGAACATCTGGGGATAAATCTTTTCTTTTAGGGTTAAATAATATAAGGCCACATTTTTGTCCATGTTTTGTTGATGTCCCAAGTTGGAAGGCGCTTAAAATTAGCAACAACAAATCTGGGTGAAGCTACAGACTGCCTTTCAACTGGAAGAGCTTCTGCATCCAGGTTTTCTGGGAACAGCCATTACAGTTTTGTGTTACTTAGCTATCATGAAGTAGGAATTCTTTGTCCCGTGTAAGATTTGGAAAATAGAAAATATTTGGAAAATAGAAAGAAAAGACAGATGGAAGTTCAGCTCCAAAATTTCACTCCAAAAAGATCTGGAAATGCCTTGTCAAACACTGTGTAGACTTACTAAACCAAAGTTTTGAGTCAGAACCAACCTGGAACACTTTATTTTGACCTTCGCCTTAGCTGTATTTTACAAGCCCAGTTCTCCCAGTTATTATTCTAGCATATATTCACAGTCCCCACTTTCACTGAAGCTGGTGGTCATTCCTCAGGCTCTTGCTTGACTCCGACCCTTCCTAAACCCCCAGCACTCAACTCTTGGGACTAACTCCCTGTTTCCAGATCTCCTGAAGTTTTTTGTGCCTCTGGGATTAAGCACCCAACCCTACCACCAGATATACCATGTCTCCAGTCAGTCTTTTCCCACCATGGTTCTCACCATGCATTTAGCTACCCCCAAAAACTACTTTATATTCCTGCTCTGAACATCCACTCCAGGCTTATGGCAGAAGTGAGCGTGAGGTGAGGATTCTTCTACCCACCAGACATTTATAAGGTTTCTTGGCCATGTGTATTTTCCAATGTACTTTAAGTGTTGAGCTTTTCCAGAAGGTTTTCCCACACTCGACACACTTGTAGGGCTTGGTTCCCACGTGGATCCTCAGGTGGGCACCGAGGGCCGAGCTGTGCCGGAACGTTTTCCCACACTCCTCACACTTGTAGGGTCTCTGGGCACGGTGGATCCTCAGGTGCACATTGAGAGCTGAGCTCCGGTGGAAGCTGTCCCCGCACTCCACACAGATGTAGGGCCGCTCCTCAGTGTGCAGGCTCTGGTGCTTGGCCAGAGTGGAGGGGTCGCTGCACCTCCGGCCACACTCGATGCACTGGACGGGGCTGGGCAGGAGGCTGCCATGGCACACGGGCAAGGACTCTTCCCTGTGGATCCGGCGGTGAGTGGTGAGCGCTGAGCTCTGGCTGAAGCCCTTCCCGCACACGGGGCACTTGTAGGGCCTCTCACCCGTGTGCGTTCGCACGTGAGTCACCAGCGAGGAGCTCTGCCGGAAGGTCTTCCCACAATCCGTGCACTCGTAGGGTTTCTCTCCCGTGTGAATCCTCTGATGCCGAATGATGGCTGAGCTGTCCCGGAAACGCTTCCCACACACCTGGCACTTGTGGGGCTTCTCTCCGGTGTGGACCCTCCGATGTATGATCAGGGAGGAGCGGTCGCTGAAGCTTTTCTCACACCGCAGACAGTTAAAGGGTTTCTCACCCTTGTGGCTTCGCTGGTGGATGATGAGATGTGAGTTCTGGCTGAAGCTCTTCCCACATTCGTTGCACAGGTAGTGTCTCTCTCCTGTGTGGGTGCGCTGGTGCCTGATCACGTTAGACCTCTGGCTGAAGGTCTTCTCGCACTCGCTGCACTGGTAGGGCTTCTCCCCTGTGTGGATTCGCTGGTGTTTGATCAGGTCTGAATTGCGGGTGAAACTCTTCCCACATTCAGAGCAGCTGAAGGGTTTCTCTGCCAGGTGGATCCTCTGGTGCTGGCTCAGGTATGAACTCCGGCTAAAGCTCTTCCCACACTCGGGACACTTGTAGGTTTTCTCCCCCACCTGCTGAATCCAAATGGCACCATTCCCACACATGGACAGATCTGGCCTGTCCCCAGCAAGGATAGCCTTCTTTATAGGGGCTTTACCACTGTCCTTGCACCCCCAGACTTCCATCTCATAAGGAGGTACCATTTCATATCTCTTTGGAAAACATGTCTCCATCTCACTTTCTCTTTCCAGCTCCTGCTTGTGGTCCTGTCTTTGATCGGCCTCCTGGAGGGAATCTCCTGTGAGCTCCCTGGAGGGGAACAGATGGAGTTCAGCTTTCACTGAACCTTCCTGATGAAGTTCCTGATGAATGCTGCCCTTCTGCGTGTCTCCCATGATCCTGTCACCTGCTGGAGTGAACAGAGGAAGTAGCAATGAACGAACTCCCAGCTTCTCTGAGGGGCAAGTCCACACAGGGAAACCACCAAGACCTGCTGCACATCAGCCTCCATGAGCTGACAGCACAGGAGACAGCCCCTTGGTACCTTCTCAGGCACAGTGAGGGCATGGAGATTGAGGTGAGTGGGAAGGGAATATGGTTCAAGGATGGGAGGCCACTGTATCACAGACTGCAAAGGGGATCCTCTGTCAAAATTACAGCCCTAAAGGGCAAGACCCGTCACTTGCTTGCCTTCAAAGTTCCCATGTCTAGAAAGCTTAGAGGAACATTGTGAGTGCTTTCCTTGATAATTCCCATTGCAGCTGCTACTCCTCCTGCTGCCTGTGAATCACTGCTCTTCAGCCAATATTCCCATGCTTAATCATGGAAGAAATCAGCCAACACCACAGAAACATCCACCCTTACCCAGCAGATTATTTATTTCCTTTCTTCCTTCCAGTCATAGCCCTTTTCCTTAAAAAGAAAGCTCTTCAGCAAATTGTATCTAGATTTCATCTACAGAACAGATAGACAACTGAGTGGAATGATAAACTGTTTAATTAACTTTTAGACTAAAACATTTGGAGGGTCCTGGTTTTTCATGGGTTATACTTATTTGGAGACACACCTTGGAAATTCATGCTGGAGTGTAAGATGAGCTGAACAGCACTGCTTACAGACTGAAGATCATCCTATCACATGGAGTAGGAGGTCATGCAGTACAGACCCCTCAGGTTTTGTTTCAGCTGATCTGCAGATTTTGGAAGATACCACTACACTGGTTATTCCAATCCCCAAAGTTTTGTTTACAACGCTTAGGCCTGAAAAGTATTTGCAGTACAAAGGTACTCAAAAGCAACCTCAAAGCAGCAAACCAACCCAAATATTGTCATATTTTGTCAGCACGAAAAGAAGAAAAAGCCACATTTTGGTTTATGCCTTTTAACATTATGAGTATATTCTTTGCTGAAAAATACACAAGATTGATTTCATTTTGCACAGGGTCTTTTTGAAAGGGTATTAGATACCCCAGGACTGTGTTTTGTCTTTGCCATACTCTGCCTACAGATCTTCATGGAAGCAGAATCTGTTTACTGAGGGAGCAGAAGAGGCAGGGTGAGTGTGGAGGGTGCAGCCAGCATGGTAAACCCCAAATTTTCAGCATTCAGCTCTTCCCTTCCCAGACATGCTCCATGCAATTTCTCACCTCGTGAGCAGTCTCTCTACTGGCTCAGTGTTAGGCTGCTTTTGGTCAAAAACCTGCTTCTCTTCACTTATCCAAAAGGTTAAAGCCAAGCTGGGGACTGCAGGTCCTGATCAGAGGAAGGAAAACAGACATACCAAATACCTGTCATGGTAACAGTGCTGTAGGGTGAGATTACAGGAGGATAAGTATTTAGGAGCTGAAAGTAACCTAGACCATAGGAAAATGATGCCCAGAAACACGAGTCAGGGTCACTGTCTGTCTTGCCATGAACACTGAGATACCACTGTTCAGGTCCAATAATCAGGGCCAGCTTGGGCAGCACATACAGGTCAACCACATGTCCAGAGAGCTGCCTGACAGCTCACTGCCTTCTCACAGGTGTCTGGATGTTCTTCCTGCTACACTTCCAGACCAAAAATGCCTCCTGACCAATTTTGTGTTAGAAAAGTATCAATTCCTCAAACAATTTTCGGTCCATTACCTTTCTTCCTAGTGTTTTCTGCCGTGGTCTGGAGCCCCATTTAGTGCTTGTGGATCCAGTCCTAATGGATCAGCCAAGCATACACAGATCTGGGCAAGAGACAGAATTTTGATCTGCTCACACATTATCAACAGCAGCAGCCCAAAGGCAGAATTTCCTGTCCAGGATTTTCCTCCAGAAAAATGGGCACTTGACTGCCTTCTTTCAGATGGATTTTACAGGGCTGGTAGAGAGCAGAAAGAAGGACACACACACACCTGTTCATGAACAAACACTGCCTGGGGGAGGGGGCAACCCGATGGGGGGCAGCAGGGAGAAAGCAGGGGCAGCGGAGGATGGAGTGTTTGGAACGCAGGTGTCTGTGACATCAGTGGCAAAGCAGCAGAGGTGACACCTCCAGCAGTGCAAGTGGGCCCCAACTGTCACAGGCACCGCTCCCAGTGCCATGATGGCTTTGTGGGCTTATCTGGCTTTGTCTGGTGAGTTGGAAATGTCTCTCCTCCAAACCCAGTTGTGAGGAAGGGCAGCTAACCCAGCTGCTCTGCACCCTCCCCATCGCTCCTCAGCTTGGGCAGTTTGGAGGCAAAAGGAAGGGATGAAGCACCCTCCACTGCCCCAGGTGCAAAGATCCCAGGGCTTATAATTTTGGCAATTCTCACCACTGGAGTTGGTATTTTATTCATCAAGGAGGGCCACAGAGCGATCTAAGAGCCAGGCAGGAATCAGAGCAGGATGCAGTGGGCACAGGCTGGAACAGAAGTGGAGGCTGGAGATGCCATGACAGAGACAGCTGGGTGCATTAAACCAGACACGAGCACTGATGCACAGGTCTAGAGTCAACCCACAAAGCTAAGAGGGAAGAGCTGGCCCAGTAAATAAACAGGGGAAGCAGGAGAAGGAGGCCTGAGAGAGGACCTTGGTTAAAAACCTATTTAGCCAGAGGAAGAGTGTTTGCAGAGGCTAAAAAATCTTGCAAGGAAACAGTCTACTTGCTCCAGCCCTGACAACAGAGCATTATTCTCAGTTTCAGTCATGACTTCCAAGACATTTCTCCCAGTTTAAGATTTGAATCTCCCGAGCTTTGGTGAACGTCCACCTCAGCCATGTACTGTCACTCCTTTCAATATGGGCAAAGCAAGTTTTCCACAGGTCTGGACCTTCCATCTCTAGATTGTTAATGCATTTTCCATGTGCTGGATCCTGCACCCAGGAAAGGCAACAGAGATCAGGATTCAGCCCTTCAGCTCTTCCAAACATGCCATGGTTAGCATTTCCTTCTCCCTCTGACTCCCTGCACTCTGTTTTTCACCAGTGCTCTTGGGCTGGGGCTGCATAGCTGGCCCTCGGGGCACAAAGGCACAGCAGCCAGGAACACCACTCTCTGACCAGGAATACCACCAGTTCTTCAAGTTCCTGCGGATGACCATCCAAGCCAGCACTGCCTGCCACCTTCGTGAGCTGTACGGCTGCAAGAACTCACTGGTCCGGAGACTGGATGAGTATGAAAACCACGGAGTCATCCCTCCAGGTAAAGCCAACCATGATTCCCAAGGGCAGGCGGTTGGACAGGAGTCTTGCATGGCCCTGATCACCGAGACAGGAAACACTTGGGATCTGGGGAGGAGAAGTGGGGGGAGAGGGGTGGGTAGCAATCCTGCAGTGAGGAGAAGGCATGTGCTCATGGGCATCTTCTCTCACATTTGATTTGATCCACATGTGACCCTAGGACCAGCCTCCTCCAACCCTTGGGTCATGAAGATGATCAAGAAACAGTGGAGTTTCTCAAAAGGTTCCCAAATGACACAGGGGTTTTCAAGGAGGAATGTCACTCCACAGGAAGGTTATTGCTAAGGGAGATGCCAGCACTGGAGTCTGTCACTGGGTCTGTGTCTTTATTTGCCTCTTTCTAGGGCCCATATGCTCTGAACTGCCAGGAAATCTTTTATTCCACAACTTCTGCACCTTTTCTCTTTATCGCTGTATTATGAAAAAGTATTTCCTTAAGGTGAGTTATTTAGCTATTTCCTGAAGACTATAGTGTGCTTTGGGCAATTAATAGGCAAAAAGAGAGAGCCCTGAATATGAGTAAGTGGGAAAACAGAAAGCTAAAAGACAGGGAAGACAGAAGAGAGCCACGGGAAGCCCACCTTTCAGGAGCACTCACACCAAGCTGATTAGCTAACACAGATGGCACCGGCAGCCACTTGATGGAAAGCAGACTTTGCAGAAGGCATTCTTCAAGAAAATGAACCTTTGAGGACCACCTCAGCCCTCTTCTCCACATCTCATTCCCAACCAAGCTGAGACAATCTAGGTTTCTCCAGAAGAAAGGGGGATTCGTGTAGGCTAGAAGAGAGTAAGGACAGCTGTTATTCCCAAGAGAGATTTATGGGGAGACTTGACAAGGAGAGGATATGAAGGTTTATTTTGCTTTCCTGGCCTCAATTTAGTAGGAAATGTGAAAGATGAGATTGTGCAGTGAGAGCTAAACCCATAGAACAGAGCTGTGCATAGGTACCTGCTCCTAAGGCTCTCCAGAGGCATGTTTTCTCCTCCACAGAGGACTGCGTGCCCAGGACACAGCAGAGCCAAGCAGCGCAGCAAAGCAGGCACCAACATCATCACGAGCAGTGATGCCATGTCATCCAGCAGCTTCGGTTCCCAGCCAGTCCCCACCACATCTCCCACGCCTGGCTCCAGACCTGGCACAGAGGCAGCTCTGATCCCCACCTCCTTCCCTGTGAGCACACAACCAAATCCTTCTGGCCCACAAGCCACAGAGGTGACAGCCAGTGGCCAGCAGCAAGGACAGCTGCCCAACAGTGACATCGAGGATCTCCTCCTGAGGATAATGGACAGCCAGGTGCAGACTTCACTGCAGACAATGAAGTTGTTGATGTCTGTTGGGAAGACAGTGAAGGAGGAAGAGCTGCGGAAGGCTGCCACAACCCTGCTGATGGCCCTGAACAACGCAAATGTGACTTGGTCACCAACCAACTGATACGGCTCAACAGTGCGGTAAATACAGAGGGCAAGCCATCTCTTCCAAGTGCGTGGGGAAACAGAGACATGGAAAATGCTACTGCTCGGGATTCAGAGAAAAAGATGGTATCCTCTTGGAAGTAAATGTATTGAAAAGATACCATTCTCCCCTGTAAAAACTCTTTGCTCACCATTAATGGCGTTTGCTGTGTCATTCAAGGGATGTCATGGGAGAATGATGGCTTTTCTTCATTAAATGTAGGTGCTCCTGCTCAAAAGCATTAAGA